AAAACGAAAAAAACGAAAAAAACGAAAAAAACGAAAAAAACGAAAAAAACGAAAAAAACGAAAAAAATGAAAAAAATGAAAAAAAATGAAAAAAACGAAAAAAAAACGAGAAAAAAAAACGAGGAAAAAAAAAAAACGAAAAAAGCATATAACGATAGACTAAGATACACAAACAACAATACTTTTCTCAGGAACACCCTGCAAAAAATTTCAGAAAAACAAAAACTCGTGATACACCTCCAAGTAGAATGGCATGAAAGATAAGGACAAACTATATCACGAAAAAAGTGCCTTAGCACAAGCAGTATAAACCCACTATAAAACGACTAATTAGACTGCGACCGCTCCCACTACTGCATAAACATACTACGAAAAAACATTCATATGGTGACAGACTGACATGCACAAACGATGAGACTTTTTCAGGTACACCCCGCAGAGAAGGTTTCAGAAAAACAAAAACTCATGATACACTTCCAATGAGATTGACACGTAGAATCGGGACAAAATACATAACGAAAAATACGTTGTAACATGAGTACTACAAAGCTAATAAAACGACTAATTAGAATACAATCGTTCCTACTACTACCTATTTCTTGAACTATGTACAGGGTCTTGTTATGCGCACTGTAACCCATACATTCGTACGGACCACTCAACTACAGAAGCCATGACCAAACATGTTATTTTTTCTCCTCAACCTAAAATTATAGAACCCCCTCACCTCCAAAATCAGACTAAATTAAACCCCTCTCATAAACATACCCAAAATACGCCTTGCTTACTTAGTCTACCCCTTCCATTTCCTTACTTCCAAGCTGTGTAGCACACCGAACATGTTCGGGTGTTCGGCCGAACGCCACCCGGACGTGTTCGGCCAACATATTAAAAAAAAAAAAAAAAAAAATTGTTTTTGTTTTTGATTTTTTACTCAAGTTTGGTTACGAATTTGAGTATACCTCCAAGGCAAAAGTTGTTTGTAATATTATTTTACATAACATATAGATATATTTTAGATTTTTTGGAGAACTGTTTTTTTTTTTTTTTTTAAATATTTTTATGTTCGCGTTCGGAGAGTTTCGGCGCTCGTTCGCGTTCGGTCCCGAATGTTCGGGTTCGGTCACCAAAGCCGAACACGATGCTACACACCTTCCAAGTTAGATCCACACGTTGCTATATACAATGGTGCTAGCTTGCATTGCTATCTACCGCAGCCCGACCGACGATACCGGACTTGCCCTCAATTGCTTGTTGCGCACTCTTACAGCCACGGAGCACGCGATTTGCAATGATCCCACCTCATTCCCCTCGCCTACCCTCGCGTGCCTAGCAAACACGAGCGACCTAATGCTCGCGGTCCTACAATGTCATCGCTAACACACTCTCTAATCCCCTCCTGCGATCGCTGCGCTCCATTGCGTTCTATGAGCGGCCCAACACACGGAGGGAAAATGATGTCCGTTGAAGAGATGTCGTCTTCATAGGCATTCCGCTCACAGGTATGGGTTCACTCGAACATACGTCTAACCTTCCCCAATTCATTAAAATATTTATTACATAATAATGATAATAAATAATACAAATCATCAATAAAATAGACTATCAGAAAATAATATACATATATGCATATATATTATAGATAGATAATATCTATATATCTATATATTCTAGCCCGTACGTACGGAGGTCCCCGGGCAGACCTCCGTACGTATGGGCGTTCGGGGTCCCGTACGGGGTCCGAACCCGACGGCGTTCGGCCCCCGCCAAAAATTATTTCGTGGCCTAATTTTTTTTTTTTCTCAATTTTTTTTTATGAGTTCTCCATAACGTGAGGTACACCTATAAATTTTCAAGTTGTTTGGATCAGCCAAATAAGAATTAAAAATCGCCAAAGATGGCGGTGTCAAAACGTGCTTGCCCACGTTTTTTTTCAGTTTTTACTTTTTGTTTTCACTTCAGTTCAGGTCTAAAAAATTTTATTATTTTTTGAAACTTTCTTAGTGTGTTTTGCATTATGTGAAGTACACATATGTAAAATTTCAGGGCATTTATCTATTCCAAGAAAAAATGAAAAATCGCCAAAGATGGCGGTATCGAAAACGTGCTCGCGAACTCACTAAATTTAATTCTTTTTTAATTTTTTGTTACTTTTTTTATTAGTATTTGATTTTTTTATTTTATTTTTATTTAAAATTTGGCAAGGAATTTGGATGTAATGCTCAGGTAAATCTTGTTTAGTTTATTTTTCTTCGTAACATATTTTTT